GATGCGGTCTGGAGGAATCACTCTCTTCTCCTCCTCCTCCTCCTCCCTTCCTCTCTGTCCGTTTCTTTTTTCTTTTCTTTTCTTTTTTTTTTTGTAAGGTCCTCAAACCGCCGGAAAGACCGGGAGCAGAGTCCACTGATCCGCTGAACACACGACAGGTTCACGGCTCGTGTCGGGGTTCGTGGCAGCGCTCGGAGCGACTCGGAGAAAATCGTCAGAAAAATCCGCCTTCGGGCGATTTTAACGGAAGAAGAAGAAAAAAACAGGAAGTAGAAAAAGCTGATGATAATGAAAAAAGAGGTTGTGGAAGAACAAGAGGACGAGGAGGAGGAGCGGAGGGGGGAGGAGAGGGGGGGAGGAGAGGGAGGATACGAATTGTTATTAATTTAAAACAAATAAATAAACTTCAAATGAAGATTTCATTTCATGAAACATTCTTGTGGACTCGGTGGTCAGTGATGACCAAGTCCTGGTTCTTGATGCAGTGGTCTCAATGTGGGGGGCGTGGAGCAACTGTGGCACAGCGAGACCGATGAATTTAAATTTTTATTTTCTGTCTTTGTGACTCGATGGGAAAACAGATTGATTTTTTAAAATTATTTTACTTTCTCCCCCCCAAAGGTGAATGCTGAAATATCATTGCCTTGACAACAGTCTCATCAGTCGACTGGGGGGTGGAGGAGGCAACTGTTGCCAAGTGATGTCTCTTTTTTATTATTTTTTTAACATCCAAGATTTTTCTAATTTTAAAATTGAAACCTAAACTGTGACGGTACGTTAGCACGACCAAACACCTGGTTTCACCCCGTGGTCCTTGAAGGTGCCGGGCACCATGGGGTTTTTTTAACCAGTGTTTCCTCCTGCAGCTTAAAAAAAAAAAGAAAGAAAGATTTGAACCAGAAACACTGCTGTAAGGTGTGAGAGCAGAACTTTTATTGAACACTGACTGGAAGAAGAGTTAACACTGACAGAGACTGTAAACAACAACAACAACAACAACCGTAGACATCAACAGTTCATGGAGGAATGTGGGACAGTGATTTTTAACATCAATGTAAAAACCCGACCGTCTTTTGGTGAATCTACAGAAAAATTACCAAAAATAATAATAAGAAGAAGAATTCCAAGAAATTGAAACAACACAGAACAGGAACTGAGGTAAATTCACTTTCACCCGTGACAATTACAACAACAACAAAATTAAATGTTACATCAAGTGTCTCCTACGGAGCTCCTAAAGGGACATGGGGCGGGGGCTCCTCCCCCGTCTCCCCCAGGAGCTTCATAGTCCTCAGCTCTGATTGAGTGATTTTTTTTTTTCCTTTTTCCTTCAGGCATCGTCTTCCACGTCCTCCTCATACTCGCCCTCCTCCTCGGCCGTGGCGTCCTGGTACTGCTGGTACTCCGACACCAGGTCGTTCATGTTGCTCTCGGCCTCGGTGAACTCCATCTCGTCCATGCCCTCGCCCGTGTACCAGTGGAGGAAGGCCTTTCGTCTGAACATGGCGGTGAACTGCTCGGAGATCCGCTTGAACAGCTCCTGGATGGCCGTGCTGTTGCCGATGAAGGGGACGGCCCTCTTCAGGCCTCGCGGCGGGATGTCGCAGACGGCCGTCTTCACGTTGTTGGGGATCCACTCCACGAAGTAGCTGCTGTTCTTGTTCTGGACGTTCAGCATCTGCTCGTCCACCTCCTTCATGGACATGCGGCCTCTGAACACGGCGGCCACCGTCAGGTAGCGCCCGTGGCGTGGGTCGCACGCCGCCATCATGTTCTTGGCGTCAAACACCTGCTGGGTGAGCTCCGGTACCGTCAGGGCACGGTACTGCTGGCTCCCCCTGCTGGTCAGAGGTGCGAAGCCAGGCATGAAGAAGTGCAGGCGGGGGAAGGGAACCATGTTGACGGCCAGTTTCCTCAGGTCAGCGTTGAGCTGACCGGGGAAGCGAAGGCAGGTGGTAACGCCGCTCATGGTGGCGGACACCAGGTGGTTGAGGTCGCCGTACGTGGGCGTGGTGAGTTTAAGAGTGCGGAAGCAGATGTCGTACAGGGCTTCGTTGTCGATGCAGTACGTCTCGTCGGTGTTTTCCACCAGCTGGTGCACAGACAGTGTGGCGTTGTACGGCTCCACCACGGTGTCTGACACCTACAGGCAGGGAGAGGAAGTGTCAACAGCCGTAAAAAATTTTTTATCTTAAATAAATCTTTTAATAACAATCATTCTTTGGCCACCATTCAAACTTCTTATCTCGACAACATAACTAGTCATTTTAACAATGGTCCAACAACAACAGGTCAATTCATTAAAGACCAGTAAAGTGCAGCTGCAGCAGCACTGAAACATGAATATTTTATTAGGACGTTTCCATGGAGCAGCCCCTGAGGCTGTTACCTTGGGGGAGGGCACCACACTGAAGGTGTTCATGATGCGGTCAGGATACTCCTCCCTGATTTTACTGATGAGCAGCGTTCCCATACCGGAGCCGGTGCCTCCGCCCAGGGAGTGTGTGAGTTGAAAACCCTGCAGGCACTCGCAGCTCTCCGCCTCCTTCCTCACCACATCCAGGACAGAGTCCACCAGCTCCGCCCCCTCTGTGTAGTGACCTTTGGCCCAGTTATTTCCTGCACCACTTTGACCTGCGAACCGAGAATAATCATAGTTCACTAAGATTATTGTGCCATCTTGATTGATTTATTTATTTATTTTTAAGATACTACTCCAACAGCTCTTACCAAAAACAAAGTTATCAGGTCTGAAGATTTGGCCAAAGGCTCCAGAGCGAACTGAGTCCATGGTGCCTGGTTCCAGATCAACCAGAACGGCTCTGGGAACATACTTCCCACCTGGAACAAACACAAAGTGGATAAAAACATTACTGGTTTGTTTTACTTGTTAGTTCAACTATCAAAAAAAAAAAAGAAAAAAAAGATTAAAGCACTTTAAATTTTTTTTAATTTGATTCAATTCAAACGGGTTCAAATTTAATTTGATTCAATTCAAACGGGTTCAAGTATCACTGCGAAAACTTGTGTTGCAGTCCCTCATGTGGCCACTAGATGGAGACAACGCTCTGCATATGGCGTTGGTTTAAATGTTGTGATCTCTCACCACTGGCTTCATTGTAGTAAACACTGATCCTGTCCAGCTGCAGGTCACTGTCTCCGTGGTAGGTTCCTGTTGGGTCGATGCCATGCTCGTCACTGATCACCTCCCAGAACTAGAACACAAAAACAAAAGTTCTTATTCAGCTTCCAACAATATATGAAATTAAAAACTTTAACCTTGAGGACTACTTATAAAAAATAAATAAATAAACTCCCAACATGAATTCCCCTCAGTGTCACTTCTCTGAAGAACTGTATATTTATGGGAATACATTATGGTTATAAATTTAAACCCCGGCCGTGACACTTGTAAACAGACTTCCCCTGAGGCTGAAACCACCAACATCCCAATGTGCAGCTGTAACATGGACTGAAAGGCCGAGTCACATGAGTGAGAATAACAAGTTCCCGTCTGTGTGCATCGTGGCTGTGACTCTTAATGTCGACTCTGTCCTGTGTATGTGCTAAAGATAAAAAAAAAAAAAAACATCTACCCGTCGACAGCAGTCACAGGATCGGCTAAAAACAACATGTTCCATCCATGAATACACACATCACTGTGTCTATTCAGTGGATTACACACACACACACACTGTACCATCACATCACTTACACACATGGCACTTCTGTGTGTAGGGTTGTAAGAACATATTGATAAACTGAGCCATTAATAAAGTCCTATCTCTGTCTATATTAAGATATTTAATTTCACTGTACTCTATCAATACTATAGGCACAATGATATATGTCTCCCTCAGACTCTGCCCCCCCGCTGTTCCCCGCTGGAACAGAGGGATCTACATTTGGATTCACTAGAGAGAAAAGAAAAAGAACATGAACCAACACCAGGAATATTGGACTGGGAGTTGGAGAGAAAAAAAAAAAAATCAATAACTGATCAATGACTGAGGTGATTGATACGGGATCAGGAGGAGAGATCACTGTGTATCAATATATATTCTTACATAACTAATAGACGGTGCCCTCTTGTGGCAATATATAATGTGGGTTAGATATTAGTTATATACTACAAGACACGTAGCAGAATGAGCTAATGACCTTTCACCTTTAAAACACTGGTCCAACTGATAGCAGTGAAAACAAGTCAGCATCAGTCAGAGCTGTGGTTCAGGTCCATGTGATGAACCGGCTGAAAACGCAGCCGTAAAATTACATCATTTGTGCATTTGAAGAGCACAGACACACAGAGTCGCTTGTTATCCCCCTCCCCCCCCCCACCTCAGCCCTCACCGTCCCACTGCGTTCCTTTCTTCTGCCTCAGCAAATCTCTTTTGCCTTTCTTTCCTTCTCACCCTGTAACCCCCCCCAACCCAACCCCACCCCTTTCGTTGCTCTTTTCGCAGTGACAATGAATGCAGCTCGGTGGACCAATGGTGCGGGGGCAGCAGCTACACGCCACCATCTGCTCCAGACTGACCACATTCATCAATCATGGGTCTGAACACGCCTTCGGCTGCGTTCACGCTCAGATATTACATTTCATGGATCCAAGTCTGTTCAGTCCAGCAACATTCCTTCATGGAGCTTTTATTAACTCCAGCACAGGCTTTAACTACCGCTGTTAGTTAATGAGGGTGTTCTCATCTGTAGAAATGCTGCCCCCTCTCTGTGACACCCACCACCTCCACCCCACTTCCTCACTTTCTTTGATTTTTAGCTAGTTTGCTATTGTGTTAAAAAATAAAATAAAATATAAATCTGACCCAGTATGACAGCACCAAGTCAACCAAAATGTTGGGGGGGGGGCAGCTGCTTTTCATTGCCTGTCGGTTGTGTTTGTCTGTAACGTTAATGATATACTTTTGATGTAACAATTGTTACATTTTCTGTCTTTCACATCACGTGACTCTGTATAATCTAAGGTAATTTCTGAAGAAAGGTCAGTTTAAATACGTCAAATGCAAATAACCCAACGTCTACAGTGGCCACGTTTCCTAAAGCTGATTAAATCATTTTTTATATTATTGTTTATCGATTAAAATGTTCAAACCGTCAAAGTGACGATTAAGTGTCTCCTTAGCTCGGCATAAATAAAGAAAATCACAGTTTAAAAGTGTATGTTTATTTACTACTAAAAAAAGAGAACATTTTAGTGATAAAAAAAATCATTTTTAAAACTGTTCCGTACCTTTGCGCCAATCTGGTTGCCGCACTGACCCGCCTGGATGTGAACGATTTCCCTCATGATTCTCGGTTGTTCTGTTGGACTGAAGTTTGAGAAAGAAATAGAAGAGACACACGGCCAACTCACAGGAAGTGAACGGCGTTTTGTGGGACACTGGCTCACGAGCTCGCGGTTAAGTATCTGCGCAGCTGCGAGTTGTATGGGCGAGAACTGTGATTGGTCAATACGAACACGACACACCGCCGCCGATTGGCCAAACTTCTGTCTCAGTAAAGGGGGTTTCCCTGATTGTAGAGCAAGAGCCGGAAAAAGCGGGAGAATAGTGTGACGTCACAGAGTTTTCCGGAAGTATTTCTTTTTTTTACTTTATTTAAACAAAGAAACAGAAACAACGACAAACGCCTTCTTTTCATGAAATTATTGCAAATAAATTGTTGTGTACAGTTTTAAAGTCAACTTTGTTGAGTTTGAAGTATTTTGTTGGAGTACTTAAACTGGTGCCGTATTTAACATTAAAAACATTCAGGTCAAGGACGTCATCGCGTCATAGACCACGTCTGTTTTGTCATCCAATCTGACTCCGACTCCCCCTACTGTTCAACAGTGGAACATCATGGGGGCTAAAATGATGCATCAACAACATTTTCCATTTTTAGGAGAAACTGTTGGTGAAAAGTGGAAAGTTTTATCGGCAGTTTGGATGTTTGAAAACCACACCCTGACAGGAAGTCAATAAATAATAGAGAGAACCACATCTGCTCTTTGTTTTTGGACCTTTAATCCTCTGTTTCATCATTTCTAAATCCTTTTCTCTTCCACCTCCGTCTTCATCATCCTTTATCTGAGGTTTTTCCTTTTTTTTCTTCACGTATTTGACCAGTTAGACCAACCTGTGTGTGAACAAGACAATCAAACAAACAAACAAACAATCAAACAAACAAACAAACAAACAAACAAACAAACAAACACAGGAGGTGAAAGTTAGAACGGAACTCTCTGTGTCGTTCCCGTGGGACTGAAGACCCCCTCCCCGTAGACCCCCACCCCGTAGACCTCCACCCCATAGACCCCCCCCCCATAGACCCCCCCGCTGCTGCTGCATCTTCACTGATTTATTTCACAGCTTTGTTCTGAGCTGTGAGTAAACAAACTCATTCATTAATGTCTTTCTCTGCAGGTCACAGGTCAGAGGTCAGAGGTCAGCTGCTGTGAGGATTCATGTAAACACATCTGTCTCTCAAACCCCCCATGATGCACCTCACCTGTTCTTAATGATGTCATCGGAGGAAACACTCTGACCTGCGTCTGTTGACGTTTCCTCGTTAATGAGTGACTTCAGACAAAGTTCCGCACGGCTGCCAATCATATGACCCTTGACCTTTGACAACTTGACCTCTGCATTGCTGCTGATGGACATCTGAGTGTGTGAGGAGATGGGCGGAGACTGTTGTTATTTTAAAGTTTTCAGAGAGAGTGTGTCGTGATTTTCTCCGTGGACTTTGGTCTGAACTAAAATCTCTGATTTTGAGGGAGAGAGAAATGAATCCTTGACTTTTGCTGCTGAAGGCGATGACGTGCTGTTTTCCTCAGTGGTGGATGTTGACGACATCCATTTCTTCTTTACTCACCTTCACAAGTCAAACTAGTATGCAGCTGTGACATCACAGATGTGGGCGTGGCCTCACATGAAACACGTTTGACAAAGATTCCTTCATCCGTCTGAGAAACTCTGTTTGTGCATTATCTGTTTTACTGAAGGTCAGAGACTGAGACCAGAGAGTGAGGAAATCATAATAGACTGAGACCAGAGAGTGAGGAAATCAAACACACCTTTCATCCTGTGTGTGTGTGTGTGTGTGTGTGTGTGAGAGAGGCTTATTTTTAATAATAAAATTCCAGACCGTTCATCTCTTTGGTCGTTGGAGCAGAGAAACTCTGATAAATATTTAACGTGTTATTTATCGTGTTGTCTTGATGTAGCATGTAGCATGTAGCACCTAGCATGTGCTGAGTGTTGAAGATAACTTCACATTAGCATGCTACCTTCAGGTAACGTTTGAAGGTCACCGACGTGGTTGAGCGTTAGCTTGTTTCGTGATGAATGCGAGGCTTAGCATGTAGCGTCCTGTGATGAAGGTATCGCTCAGCTAACAGCTCGTGGGATGAAACGGAACAGAAGGCTCAACCATTGGTCTGTGGAACACAGTGCTACTTGAACACGGAGCACGCGGCCTCCAAACTAAAATTAGAGG